TCTTGCAATTCGGACTTCGAGATTTTGAAACTCTCTGATGTTAGAATTATGGAACCCTCAATTTTTATTTTTAGAGAATGACACTTTGGAATTTTGGAACCTCAAGACTGAAATTTTAGGACTTTAAGATCTTGATGTAAGCTAACCTCACTTTTAACCACCGATGGACTTTTGCTCTCACCTAACCAATGTTTATCTTCAGACATTAGAACAATCAAGTCTTGGATGTAATATAAAATATTCTGCTAGAAGGTATCTATAACAGAAGTATTTCGTAAGAAATAAAGAATATGCGATCAGAAGAATTGAATAAAATTTAATAGAAGTTTCATCGGCACGAGAGCATCGTATCTAACCTAACCAAAGTTTATCTTCAGACATTAGAACAACCAAGTCTTGAATGACTACAAAATTGTAATATAAAATATTCTGCAGTAAAGAATCTATAACAGAAGTATTTCGTAAGAAATAAAGAATATGCGATCAGAAGAATTGAATAAAATTTAATAGAAGTTTCATCGGCACGGGAGCATCGTATCTCCTAATTTCCTTTGCCTTTCTGCCGGTTCAGAGAAAGGAAAAAAGGAGGAACTTTATCATGAAACTCGATAAAGGGAGTCCGCGAATTTTCTACGAAATCGGAGAGATTCTGAGCGGGCTCGTATCTTATCGCGAAACAGACGTCCATGCCAGAATCCCGGCTCTGGCTTCCATATAGGTACGTACCTGTATTATATCCGCGTCGTTCACATATCTGGCTAGATCGCATCACATTCTACCAGCACCCTCCTCTCTTTCGATATATAACTATATATATCGTATACATCGACTCTACCGTGTATCAATATTATCTCTCGCGAAATATCCAATGGACGTCGCGTTTCTCTCTTATTCCGCGACCGATACGTCATACGATATTTTCGCTTCGGTTTTTGCGACGATGATGCACGATTTTCGAATATTTCGCTGTTATTTATTTGTGCTGAGGAACCCTTTATTTCAAAGGGTCAAGTTAGGTACCTAAATAAATTGCAGATTTGACGATTAATAGAAACCATTTGAAGTGAGACACATGTTTGTATGAGGGTTGAAAATGAACTCTTTATTTGGACTACTTTATTTAGTATCAAATCTGTAATTTATTTATGTAAGATTCATGTTTGTATGAGGGTTGAAAATGTATTCTTTAATTGGACCTCTTCATGCAGTATCAAATCTGGAATTTATTTATGTAAGATACATGTTTGTATGAGGGTTGAAAATGACCTCTTTATTTGGATCTTTTCATGTAGTATCAAATCTGTAATTTATTTATGTAAGATACATGCTCGAATGAGGGTTGAAAATGAACTCTTTACTTGGACCTCTTTATTTAGTATCAAATCTGTAATTTATTTATGTAAGATACATGTTCGAATGAGGGTTGAAAATGAACTCTTTACTTGGACCTTTTCATCTAGTATCAAATCTGTAATTTATTTATGTAAGATACATGTTTAAATGAGGGTTGAAATGCACTCCTTACTTGGACCTCTTCATCTAGTATCAAATCTGTAATTTATTTATGTAAGATACATGTTCGTATGAGGGTTGAAAATGCACTCCTTATTTGGACCTCTTCATGCAGTGTCAAATCTGTAATTTATTTATGTAAGATACATGTTCGAATGAGGGTTGAAATGCACTCCTTACTAGGGCCTCTTCATGTAGTATCAAATCTGTAATTTTTTTATGTAAAATACATGTTTAAATGAGGGTTGAAAATGCACTCCTTATTTGGACCTTTTCATGTAGTATCAAATCTGTAATTTATTTATGTAAGATACATGTTCATATGAGGGTTGAAAATGAACTTTTTATTTTGAATCTTCTTATAATCAAGTCTGAAATTTATTTATAAAAGACAGATATTGTTTGAGGGTTGAAAATGAACTCTTTATTTCAACATCATTGATCATCAAGTATACATAATTCAATATACATCTTCAAGTATGTAATTCATATACATAAAACGTAATAATAATTTCATAGTACCTGTGCATGGAGTACATAGTTTATTTGCAAGACAGTATAAGGGTGGTTGAAAAGAAATTTTGTAGAAAATTCATAGCTGGAAAAGTACGTTACGAGAAGTTAGAGTCGAGGGTTGGTCGCGGCAAAACAGCGATTAGGAAAGGGGGGTGTAGAAGGAGGGTGAGTATGGGGTGAGAAGAGTGACAGGACGAAGGAAGGGTGAGTTTCTTGCTCGATGGACGCCTTTTCTTGCGGCGAGTACTCGCTGCGACACAAATAACGTATGATTGAGTGAACGCCGCGAGGGATTTCCAGACGTGGAAACGGAATATCGCGCGAGGGCGGAGAAGAATGGCGTAGAGAAACGTCGACGTTTAGTCGTGGGGAGGAAAAGGCACCCTGTAGCGCCTCGCGGGAGCATAACAGCCCCGAAAATCGACGCTCCTCGAATTTTCTTACCCTTCCGTGTTTCTTCAGATTTTCGCTTTGCTATTCGCGTTTCTTTGCTTGCTACCCCTATGCTCAGAAAACTTCTCTACGACCTAATTAAGTTAGGTTAGTTTTTATTAAGTTAATAATTTAAGTACTGTAATGTATTTTTGTATGCAGAACTGTTGAGTTCAAAAATAAAATTAAAAGGGTGTCGACATTTTATGAGTACACAAGGGGTGGCTTCTTTAGATCATTAAAATTCTACAAGCTTATTTTAATAATTGACATAGTGAATTTTTCTGCTCTTCATTCTCAGTCAAAGTTTTGTATAAATAGTTTCGTTGAAATATTTTAAGGGGGTTGAATGATGAGGACCCGATGTCATATAACAAAATAAAAATGATTGTTGTCTAACTTAAATATAATTGTTAAAAAGTAGTCTAAAATCTTTCTTATAAATTGATGCATTTTTAGTGTGGCTGATAGTCAAGTTAACACAAGTTCACCCTTTTCTCTCTTTAATTAATTTTTATATAAAAAATGTGTAACTTCAATCATCACCCTTTTTTGTCTTCAATTAATTTTTATACAAAAAATGTGTAACTTCAATCATCACCCTTTTTTCTGTTTAATTAATTTTTATACAAAAAATGTGTAACTTCGATCATCGCCCTTTTTTCTCTTTAATTAATTTTTATACAAAAAATGTGTAAGTACCTTCATAAAAAATAAGGAAAGAACTTAAATTACCCTCAGGTACAAATTTATTAATTCATAATTAAACGAAAGTGTTCAGAGACTGAATGTTGCTCGTCAGAGAGGGAGAATTTTGAGGCAGTGTCGTGCCACGAAAGAAACATAATTTTAAGTAAATGTCACCCCCGGGAATTCATGCGTCCGTACATTGTCTGAAACGATTCGGTTTTTGCCCCGATACTCAGGGTAAACGAAATCATCGATGGTCGAACGAACGAGAAAGGGGGTCGATCGGGTAGACGTAACCCCTGATCTCGAGCTATTTCGATCTTCGTTGCTTCGAATCGACAGGAAAAGTAGCGAAGGGTGGTCTGAGTGTAGCCGGTTTATCCGACTGGCGTTTCCGGCGGCGTATCGCGGTCCTATCGTTTCGATATGACGGTCCTGAGGGTTGGTCCAAGTAAAATCATTAGTAATGCGATTGTGCCGCCCTCGGCTTCATCCCTTGGACAAACGTTTCCAAGTGTATTTACGGATTTTTGCAAAATTTTAGGGGATCGGATTGCATTCTTAGCGGACTCTTGTAAGTTAACATATGAGTTGCATTTTTTATATGTATGCAATGTTGAGATGTTTAAATCGATCAGTGAACTATATTATTGTATTGCATATTTTAGTACAATGACGTATTAATTATATTATGTACATTATATAATAAATAATATATTATTACATTATAATTCATTAGTCTAAACAACCCCTCTCGTGCATATATTTAAAAGATAACTCATATGTTAATGTACTCACAAGAACGTACCGTTAAGAATACAATAAATATAAGTAAATAATTATTTATCAAATGTCACGTATTTACAGAAATGAAATTTACTATTCAACAGCCGAAGAAAAAAATGTCGACATAAATCAAGGCAAATCGTTCTCAGCGTCCACACGGTTTCCTTTTCCTCTTTTTTGACGCAGAGGTCAATGCACATCAGCAACGTGCCTATTACCAGCATTCGACCGGTATTAATCTGGCCGAGCTAATTGCATGTCGATTACAGTGATCGTAACGAGCGCCGATAAATACTGGAATCGGGGCGAAAAGTTTCCGCTCGCAGCCAACGTTTCCGTGCCGTTCTTCGTCAGAGTTTTACGAGCCGAAAACTGTTGCCACAAAGTGTTCCACGGACATTGCGAAATCTCGTGGCTTTATAGCAATGAACGGTGGTTATTTCGCTGTGTTATCGAACTGCAATTACATTCCGATCCGTTAACACAAAAATCTCTATATCATCACCTTACTGATCCATTCATAAAAAATATTTCTGTATGAAAAAATCGACATTTGTATGAAAATATTCGTAGGATACATACTTTCATTTGTATGAAAATATTTGTAGGAGATATATTTTTATTTGTATAAAACATAGGAGACATATATGTTATTGTATAACATAGGAAATTAATATGTTATTGTATAACATAGGAGACATATATGTTATTGTATGTGATAGGAAATTAATATGTTATTGTATATCATAGAAAATTAATATGTTATTGTATAACATAGGAGACATATATGTTATTGTATAACATAGGAGCCATATATGTTATTGTATGACATAGGAGACATATATGTTATTGTATATCATAGGAAATTAATATGTTATTGTATAACATAGGAGACATATATGATATTGTATAACATAGGAAATTAATATGTTATTGTACTAAAATATACAATACAATAATATACGCAACAAGTATTCATAATAAATGTAATAAGAATTTATGAAACTTAAAATATTTAACCACCCTAATGCTTGCTTTATTATTTTTTGTAACATCCCATTATGATGGACGTTTTCTTTTGGTTTTTTGGTGTCCAGCAATTTTTATTTGGCACGGTACACGGCTCATAATCCACCCCCTCCTCGAGCGTTGAATTTCTTTTTCATCCACGTCGTTCGTTTTCTTGCCCAGTTTTCTCTTTGCGGTAAAGATCGCCTTTGTGCGTCTATTGGCATGGACTGACAGGTGGAAATGGACGATTAAGTGGTAGACAATCCCGCCAGGAATTGTCTAGATTCGATTCCAGGATATCGTTGGGAAAAAAGTGGAATGTATCGCGGCTCGATGATAATTTGTCAACCGTCGAAGATGACAAGTTTTGGGTTTAAGGGTTGTAGGTTAATTTAATGTAAAATGCATAAATTCAGGAGTTATAAAATTTGCAAATCGCTAAATCCACAAATCTTAAAATTCACGCACTCCAAAATCTACGCTCTTGTAAATTCACATATCCCAATATTCACGCATCCTAAAATCCATATGCGCCAAAATCCACACATCTCCAAATCTACAAATCCCAAAATTCACGCACCCCAAAATTCACGCACTCTAAAATTCACACATCCCAAAATTCACGCACCCTAAAATTCACTCATCCCAAAATTCACGCACCCTAAAATTCACATATCCTAAAATTCACGCACTCCAAAATCCACATATCCTAACATTCACGCATCCTAAAATCCATATGCGCCAAAATCCACACATCTCCAAATCCACGCACCCCAAAATTCACTCATCCCAAAATTCACGCACCCTAAAATTCACGCACTCCAAAATCCACATATCCTAACATTCACGCATCCCAAAATCCATATGCGCCAAAATCCACACATCTCCAAATCCACAAATCCCAAAATTCACGCACCCCAAAATTCACATATCCTAAAATTCACGCACTCCAAAATCCACAATTACCAAATCCACGCACCCCAAAATCCACATATTCCAAAATTAAAAAATCTCCATCCTCCAAACTCCCAATCCCAAATCTTCAAAATCCACACACCCCAAAACTATAAACTCTCCACCCTCCAAACTCCCCATCCCACACTCCAAATTCCCCAAAAGCCCAAATAACTCACAACACACAAAAGCACCAATACCCCACTACAAACGCCAAGAACGTCAAATCTCAGATAAATAATTGAAGCAATCGATATATCATCCGTACAATGACTATCGAGGAACACGTTTCACGGTTTTCAACTTTGAGTTAGGTGGTTTTCGCGCGGAATACGGCGTACAGTTTGCGATATACGAAAAGAGATATGACTCTCGTGCGAATGGCGAGTGGAAGGAGCGCGAACGATGTAGGGAGAAAGGAGGACAGAAAAGGGAAGAAAAATATTATTTATGGGACGGTTGGATGGTGGTGCCGGCGTGCCATGCATAGACAGCACCTCGTTCTAGTCGGCAAACGAATGGCTCGTTTTCGATCCGCAAATGTACGGAAATGCCGGTCGAGAGCTATTTCTTAATATTCGCCGATATCGCTAGATCCCTTTTGGGGTTCAGCCTTTTGTACGTTTCCATAGAAACCTTGTGGATTAACGTTCTTGTATCTTTGCGTTACTGTGTCATTACCATTTTCCATTTTTATCTTTTAAGTACGCAAGGTGAATTATTTATTTGGATCATTTGATGTGAAATTTGTTATTTATTTATGTGAGATACGTGTTCGTATAAGGGTTGAAGATGAACTTTTTATTTTGATTTTTTTATATAATCAAGCCTGCAATTTATTTATGTAAGACATGTGTTTGTTCAAGGGTTGAAGATGTACTCTTTATTTTGATCTTTCCTTTAATTATCAAGTCTGCAATTTTTTTATATAAGACACATATTATTTGAGGGTTGAAAATGCACTCTTTATTTCGACCATTTAACTTGCTGTCAAATATGTAATTTATTTAATAAGATTCATGTTCATATGAGGTTTGAAAATGAACTTTTATGTAATTTATGTAAGACATTTGTTTGTTCAAGGGTTGAAGATGTACTCTTTATTTTGATCTTTCCTTTAATTATCAAGTCTGCAATTTTTTTATATAAGACACATATTATTTGAGGGTTGAAAATGCACTCTTTATTTCATCCATTTAACTTGCTGTCAAATATGTAATTTATTTAATGAGATACATGTTCATATGAAGATCGAAAATGAACTGCTTATTTTGAACCTTCTTATAATCAAGTCTGAAATTTATTTATATAAGACACATATTATTTGAGGGTTGAAAATGCACTCTTTATTTCATCCATTTAACTTGCTGTCAAATATGTAATTTATTTAATGAGATACATGTTCATATGAAGATCGAAAATGAACTGCTTATTTTGAACCTTCTTATAATCAAGTCTGAAATTTATTTATAAAAGACACATATTATTTGAGGGTTGAAAATGCACTCTTTATTTCGACCACTTCATTGATCATCAATTATACATAATTCAATATACATCATCAAATATATAATTCATATACATGAACAGTAATAGTAATTTCATACAATACATAAAAAATAATAGTAACTTTTACAAGTTTTAGGATTCAAGCAATTTTATTAAGGGTTGAAATAATGTTCATTGTCAAACATGAACTTTCAAGGTATTTCGTTTTAAGTATGTACCTTGATATACAATGAAGTTGATGAATTTTGCATATTATTTTTCCTGACCAATTTTGAATAAATATAAAGTGAACAAACACTATATGTAAAGCATAATAGTCTATAGACATATAGTTTATGAATTTAAAAATTGAATGTCCATGTAGATTTGTGTAAAATGTTCATGTCTGAAGAGATTAATATGTCACAAGAAACAAATGACTAAATTCAAAAGATTTTAATAAATCTGTGTTTGAATGTCGGATCATTGTGTATGATTTTTCAGCTTGAATAGAATAATCTAAAAAAAATAATTTCGCCAGAGGTACAATAAGGAACGGTATCTGAAGCATATATCGTAGGAATAGCATCGAAAAATCTCGATTCCCTTCGGGTGTAGGGCGCGATGGCGATGTCGCGTCATTGAAATGTAGGAGAGACCGAGTTCCAGGCAGGTTCCGAAGGGGACGGATGCAGCTTTTCAGAAGAGCTTTTACGAGTCGCATATGTGACCGCCGTCTCTTTTATCCCTCGCTTTATATTCCTGGCACCGTGTACCATCCCCTCCACCCCGTGCAGGATGACCAGCAACCCCTCCGACCATGTCGAGAGGAGCCATTCCACCCTCGACCGGCTTCTAACCGAGAAGAAATCTTTCTTCATATTCGCTGGGGAGTGATCGTCTGACATAACGTAACAAATTTCCAACTCCTTCGAGGTTCACCCTTCTCCACCCCCCTCGGGCCGTTCGAACGCGCATTTAAATCGTCCGTAGTCTTTTTATCTTCCGTTTCGTGGCCAGACCCTCGTTTCGAGGATACGGCCCACGAAAAAACATGGTCGATCGACACGACCGTCCAGGGACCGATTCTTCCCACGCACAATTTACAGTTTCCATTTTATTCCCATCGTTCGACAACTCGAAGATGGCCGAGGATAAACTCGTTTCGGCCTCGCCAATCATCCAACCCTCGCATCTTATGGGATCTGGTAATGTCCAATATGTAGTGTTCAAAATATTGCTGTTTGAAATTTTTCATGAGACGCAATTCGCCGTAGAGCTAGATTTCAAGGTGGATCAGTCGGGTGATAGAAATCGGGTAAGAAACCGAGGTACCATGGTCACATCGATTAATTCTTTATCGATTCGACGCGCGGCGAGAAGAACCGCGACAAAAACGCTCTTCGTGAAGATGCAAACGACTGAGCGAATCAGCGGGGAACTTTTTATTGCACCTTTCTGTAATGTCATGCCGGATAATTTAGGTGTTAAATGCGTTTGCCGCGCTTACAACTATTCTCAAAATCCTCTTTTAACAAAAGATGGACGACTTCACAAAATTATTTCGTGACAAGATTTTTAAACTCTCTTTTCACTTCTTTATTACCGAATTAATTTAAAAATATTTCTGTCACTCATACGAATGAAGTACGATTGTCAGTCATTTTTAGTACCATTTTTAGTTAGAAGTTATACAAGATTAAGGTTTGTTACGGGTCTGAGGTTCAACCCTTTCCAGATTTGGAAGGTGAGAAGAGACGTGAGAACCACTGGCGGTTCCGGTTTATTAATTTCATAAAAACTGTAGGACGCACGTTCACCGTCTTTTTCATGATTTAATTAGTTAGCATCGATGGGGGCTGGCCACCTGGTCGAAGGGGGACCACCATGGGTCTCTCGAGCCCGGACGTAACCTCGGAGTCTAACGACGTGGAACACTCTTGTTCTTCGCCGATCGCGGTTCCGTAACGCGTTAAATTTATCGTCGACGAGGTTTCTTCCTCGTCTCATTATTCACGTAAATCGATCTCTCTATCCCGATATCCGTGTCGAACCAATTGTTCGATACCTATTTTATCTCCGTGCATCTACTACCTCTTTCAAACCGTACACTGCTTCAAACTGCTACACCTTGCCTACGATAACACTTATTGTTATTTCGAAAATTAATTTGGATATCAATGTGCATCACATTCAAAAAATTCAAGTAAATGGACAGACAGTTTGAGAATTTTAATTTTCATGGTTTTAGAAGTAGTTTGAATGTTTACATGTTGAGAATGAAGTTGGATGTCCACAGTTTGAGAATCTATTTGGATGTTTCTTATCTTAATAATCAATTTGAGAGTTCATATTTGAATGTTTACGTTTTGAGAAATAATTTGAACATATACATTTCGAAAGATTGCTTATATAACAAGAAAATATGACGAGTAGTATGATATACGTATTCTTGACTGACGTTGCTAAAACAAAATGGCGGCTCGTCAAATATGGCGGACAGTGGTCCACCTCGAAACTTATAAACTTTGCTATGACTTGTTAAGATAAAATTTCTATAAAACTACACTTGCAATATGGATTTAAAGATTGAACTTAAAAGAAACAGTATACAAAAACATTTCAAGAGCATTCTTAATATTTTTCATAGGATAAAGAAGTTTTTAACAAAAACATCAAGCTTGATGAATTAATTTATCGTTTCATGCAAAATTATAAGAATTGCAGTATCTTCAAAATATTTCTACAAGCAAGTTTCAAGTTAATCGGTACTTTTCGATCGAATCGTGAAATATGCATTAACGTTTTTCGTAAATTTCAAGCGTTTAAAGTCGGCAAAATGGAGCGACCACAAGCAGAGCTGAATTGTTGCCTTGCCGGATTGGAGTCCGTGTCTTTTACACTTTCTCGCTTGTCAGGTGGGCAGGACGGCTCGGTAATTAGTGTGAAGAAATTGTGGCTCCGAGGGTGACGAAGCAAGCACGAGTTCCCGCCACGTGAACAAGTCCGCCGACTTGGTCCCAGACTTCTTGTCGTTCTCTCGACTTTGTTGTTTTAATTGAACGGAATTAGTTAATACCACCATATCGTTCCTTTCCTTTTATCCTTTTACATTCGTTCAATTTCGCGGATCACGCATTTCAGTATCTCTTTGCTACCGCCGACTTCATTTCCAATCTCTTTTCACTCCTTTCAAATTGTTCCTCGACTGATATTTATTTTCTTTATTTATACTGGTCACTGTTATTTACATTGATTACTTGTATGAATGACTACTATTTATGTAGACTATACTGGTGTTGCTTATATTAATTGTTTATATGAATGATTGTTATTGATGTTCATTATTTATAATGATGAATGTTGTTTATATTAATTGTTTATATGGATGATTGTTATTGATGTTCATTATTTATAATGATGAATGTTGTTTATATTAATTGTTTATATGGATGATTGTTATTGATGTTCATTATTTATAATGATGAATGTTGTTTATATTAATTGTTTATATGGATGATTGTTATTGATGTTCATTATTTATAATGATGAATGTTGTTTATATTAATTGTTTATATGGATGATTGTTATTGATGTTCATTATTTATAATGATGAATGTTGTTTATATTAATTGTTTATATGGATGATTGTTATTGATGTTCATTATTTATAATGATGAATGTTGTTTATATTAATTGTTTATATGGATGATTGTTATTGATGTTCATTATTTATAATGATGAATGTTGTTTATATTAATTGTTTATATGGATGATTGTTATTGATGTTCATTATTTATAATGATGAATGTTGTTTATATTAATTGTTTATATGGATGATTGTTATTGATGTTCATTATTTATAATGATGAATGTTGTTTATATTAATTGTTTATATGGATGATTGTTATTGATGTTCATTATTTATAATGATGAATGTTGTTTATATTAATTGTTTATATGGATGATTGTTATTGATGTTCATTATTTGTAAGGATGAATGTTGTTTATATTAATTGTTTATATGAATGATTTTTAAATGATGTCGATCATTTGTAAGGATGAATGTTGTTTATATTAATTGTTTATATGAATGATTGTTATTG